TAGTTCTTTTCTCTCTTTAGCAGTCAAAGACCGACACCACTCGCCAGTAAATTCGCTAAAACTCTTAGAGACTAAAGACATGATTACTTGTTGAGAAGCTAAGATTATAATTAATTATTAAGCTGTTTGAATTATACAGAAATCGGTAGATTAGGAGGCTATTTATGCACAAAACTGGTGCAGTTGAATCCTAAAAGGATTCGGAGGAAAACACTGCAGCGCCAGACGACAAATTCGTCGCTTGGCGACGAAAGTAGCGTATGGCGATGACATGCAGCGCGTCACGACGGTAGGCGATGCAACGCTAGCTCAACGCGCTATGCAAATCGCGTTTTTTTACTACGATTCGAATTCGTACAATGACTTTACAATTATGCCCTTTGTTCTATCACCCTATACACAAATATTCAACATATTTTTTTCCTTTTTCTTTGATCTAATCGAGCTTAATTAAATTTAGGCTTATTTTTAGTCCGATTTATTTTTCATTTTTTCTTTTTGGGGGAGGTATGGTATTCAACACCAACCCTCTTCTCCTTATAGACCTCAAGCAAATGGAGCAGTTGAGGCGGCTAACAACAATTTAAAGACAACTATCGAGAAAATGACAGAAAATTAAAAGATTGGCCTGACAAACTCCATTTTGCACTTCGGGGTTATCGCACGTCAATTCGTACATCAACAGGAAATACGCCATTCTCCTTAGTCTATGGAATGGATGCCGTAAAACATGTAGAGCTAGATATACCTTCTCTACGCATTGCGTTGGAAAGTAAACTCGATGAAGTTGAATGGACAAGAGCAAGATATGAAGAGCTCATTCTACTTGATAAAAAACGTAGAAGCTCTACATCATACTCAATGCTATCAAACCCGTATGGCTAGGCACTTTAATAAGAAGGTCAAGACAAGAAACATCAAAGTAGGAGACTTGGTGTTAAAAGCGTTAAGGAAAAAATGTATTGGATCTAAGAGGCAAATTTAGACCTAATTGGTCCGGACCATATATCGCCAAAACCAACCTATCAGGAGGTGCATCATCAAAACTAACTGATATGGATGGTAATGAGTTGGACACTCAAGAGAGAGATGTGTGGCCTGATTCCTTAGGAAAGGATACATAAGCAACCCTTTACAGGGTGCGGCCACTTTAATTGTCTCAAATCTGGCATCCCCACATCAATAAAAATTCAACACAGCATCAGCAAAAAGTAAAAAAGTCTGTCGCCGGACGACAGACTGCATCGCAAGACGACAAAGCTTGTCACCTGGCGACAAAAGCAGAGGGTCTAGCGATAGACTTAAAATCGCGACGCCAATTTTCTGCGAATATCTGGGCAAATTTCGGTGTAATTCGTAAAATTTTTGACTTCTGTACTCGAGAAATTTCCCATAAATTAATTTAATTTGTTTTCATTGCTTTAATAAATTAAATCTAAAGGTTAATTTAAATTTAAAAGCTGAAATTGCATTAATAAAATAAAGTAAAATTACATTATTGATGAATATTAAATAAAAGCTTAAATAAAATAAATTGACTTAAAAATTAAACTAGTCTAATAAATTGGAAGTTAAGTAATGCTTCAATCTTTCTTCTCTTTTTTTGCTCTTTTCCAATTTTTGTCAGCATCCTCCTCATCATCCATTACTTTAGATAGTAGGCATCCTTTAGAGGACCTACATTCAATTTTGGAGTAAATAGTTTCCCCTTTAGCTAGAACGCCATGTTTTTTTTCACCTAGACTTTCTTTTATGAAGAGTCACCTTTTCTTTTCTCTTTGACTTTAATAGTGTCCTTCTTCTTAGGCAACATAGGTGTTTTGAACTCAACTCTTTCACCTCAGCGTTCCTTAATAGGAATTATCTTGTCACCCGGACGAATCTTCACATTTGTTCTACTTCGATCTTTCTTCTTGTCCTTTTTAGCCATTTTATCGTAGCTATAAATTCTAAAATCTAGTCAAAGTAATTAGTACAAAAGTCAAAGTGTTTCAACTAAAAAAATAGATGAAGTATAGTTTTAGATAAGTGTTCTTATTGGAAAGGAGAAAAATATAAGGAGTTTTGTCATATTATAAAAAAAAAAAAAAAAAAAAAAAAAATAGGCAATTGCAAACCATTCATGATTGTATTTATAATGTTGAAAAGTACAGAACTTAAAAATAAAAAATAAAAAATACAAGAGCAAATTTTGGATAAGAATTATATGTAACTATGTAAACACAAATTTTGGAGAAGAATTATATGTAACCCTACTGTCCATTTTTTTCTTTATTTATTGTTTTAAAAAATGAGACTATTTAATGTAAAAATTGGAATCCCTATTATACTCATCAAAATAAAAAATGAGGGAAAGTTTGACAATTTGATAAAATAAAGGACTTTGAAATCGTCTAATCGGTTAATCATAGATATTTCTTTGATTAACAACAAAACATGTAAAGTTTGGAACTTGGGATTCAAGACCTTAACTCATACGTAAATTTCCCAACTTTCCAAAAACCCCTTCTCTTGCTTTTTATTTATTTTATTTTATTTTTTTGTTGAGGAAACAAAAATCCGTATCCTCGTAAACCAACCCTTAAAAGTAAAAAAGTACTGTACTTTGTATAATCTAGTAAAATTATCCTCTTAATCATATTAAAAAAAAAAAAAAAAAAAAAAAGTATCCTCTTAAACCATACAAATTCTTAAATGGACCTGGTTCACACTAATTTATTGTGAACCACTAATATTAGAGAAAATATGGTTGTTTTATTAATTAAAAAAAGGATCACTATAATTAAAAAAAAAGTCACTATGTTGAAATAAAAATCATTTTGATAATATATACAAAAACACTTGCGTGGACCTGGTCCACAATAATATTATTGTGGACTCGAGGTCTATACACACGCAACTGACATTATATTGAATATAGTGACCATTATTTTTAACATAGTAACCTTATTTTTAACATAGTAACATAGTAACCTTTATTAAAACTACTACAACGTTTAATAATATTGTGAACTTGAAATACGACGCTATTATCCTAATTTTAGCATAGTGGCCTTTATTATTCATATTGATTAGTATATAAAATATTTCATTACAAAAATATCCACTTAGGCCTATATATTACCAAAATGATTTTTATTTCAACATAGTGACCTTTTATTATAGTGACCCTTTTTTTTTGTTAATAAAAAAAACCATACTTTCTCTAATGTTAGTGGTCCACAATAAATTAGTGTGAACCAGGTTCATTTAAGAATTTATACTTAAACCAAACCGTGTATCCTTAGTCTATCTCATTCAATTTTGGTCCAAAAAAATCAATAAAAATCAAATACAAGTAATTATTTTTAAAAAAGTCGGCTAACTATGGTGAGATTTTTCCTTTATAAATAGCTCAACTTCTATGATCAAATAGTTCTTGTATATTTCCAAGTCTACTTTTTTTGTTGGTTTTAATCAATATTCAAAACACACCAATTTCCTTCTTAACTTTCTAATATGAGTCCCAAATCTTCTGATTTGTCTCAACCCCGCTAAGGTGACGCTGATTGTAGTCGTAGTCGTGGTCGTCGTGGTTGTACTCATGATCGTGATCGTGCAAGGGTGAAGGAGTTGGAGGTTATTAAACTACAGTCGTATAAACCCATAGTACCGAAGAAGTTCTACAAGAAACCAAGAATGCGTGTGTTGTTACCCACTGAGCGAATCCGCATCCGCTTCCCTAAGGGTTGGGATAGTTGACCGACGAAGACTTGATTGCTTTCTTTCGTGATGATGAAGATGATTCGAGTCATGATATTTGTCTAGAGGAAGACATTGATGAAGAGATAGCTAAAGTTCCGAAGGAGGCTGTTGTAGAGCACGACACTAATGACAACGTCGTCCCCAAGAAAACTTAGAGCCAAATTTGGTGTTCTATTTGTAATAAAACTGTTAGACATTTTAACTAGTTTTAAGTAGTTATATCTGATATGTGAAGTTTATACAAGGTACTTTATTAAATTGGTTCGGTAGATGAAAGTTTTATTACAAGATTTCTTTATCTGTATTAATCTGATGCACATCTCTATGGCACGTTGATTCTGTGAATTGTACTACTATTTGAATGGTTTCGACAATCTTGTGTGATAATTGTATTCATGTTTTGATCTTGTTCTTTTTCGTTCTTCTTGTTGAATTAATGTAGTGTAAGCACTTGTAAAATTAAGCAATTTCTTTCCCAAAACCCTTAAAGGAAAAAGAATAATCTGTTTATACTTGGAACCGAATCAAGAAATGCAAAATTTGGCTGATTTTAAGGAATATGCAAGTGTGGTTTTTTGGAGGGCTCCCTAACCTTTGGTTGTGTCAACACCGTGTGGCGATTCTGGCGACCACAATCAAACATTTAGACGTAAGGATATAAGTGAATGTCGCTATATCAATTATGGCCAAAATCAGTGTGAGATTGGTGGTGCCGTGGAGGTGGTGAGGGCATCCCCTGCTTTTGGCGAAGCTAAGGCAGCCCCTTTTGGTCTCCTAGTAACTCAAAGGCTTGTTAAGATCCAGTGAAGTTTCGATTGTGGTGCTTTGAACATTATCAAAGCCATTGATACAAGGGAGTATGGTAGATTTTAATAGCCCTAATGATTGGAGACATGTTATAATAGCTTGTGCTTTACTCTGTATTTTCTTTTACATGTAGCCATATACTAGAAAATTAAGTAACACTGACATAATGCTACACTATTTCATTCCTTTTTCGGGTTAAAGGGATAGCATAGATTACATAATTAGTGAACATAGTCATGATTAATAAATGAAGAATGCCTGGACATACAGGACAGTTACTACTAAGAAGATTTTCTCAGATTAGGCAAAACTGAAAACAGCAGCTTAATGCATTAATTCACCGACAAAAAGACCAAAGCACTGCACATAACTACATGCATTTTCATGCTACAGAAAATAAGAAAGCCGGTGACAAAACAGAATCTACAAAATACAAGTACCATTGATCATCACAGCCAGTAATTCTCAACATCAATTGGACTCCCAAATATACCGGACTTTTTTACCTTTTTGGCGTTTGAGTATTCATTGATGAACAAGGGATAATCAGCTGAATCCCCAATCCTTCTTTTCAGCTTCTTTGTACTACTCCTAGACCGGATAACCTCTTTGAACTCCGCTTTCTCAGCCATCTCATCATCTGAATCCATAACCACCAGGCCTTCCAAACTTTGTACTTTATCTTTAGTACCATTGTCACCAGTCTCACCACCTGAAAGATTCAGAATTTCACTTACAGGACTAACAGTTGCTGCTGGTTCAAGTGAATCACTGCCCTCATTACAATTCGATTCTGTTTTCTCGTCACATGTTAGTATCGGCCTCTTATGATCATCATTCTTGCACACCTGCTCAAGGCCTTCAATAACCGCTTTTTCATGAGCACTAATTGATCCTTCCCTTGGTATGTTATCACCCACTTCAGATGGCTTTTTACCATTAAGCAATCTGACATTTCCTGATTTTAAAGGGCTAGTTAATACAGCATCTACCTTAACCTTATGACCAGATTGACCACATTCAAACTGCATCATGACCCTATGAGGCTGACATGTTGCAGTACGATCAATCCCAATCAACTCCTGAGGTAGCAAACACACTTGAAATGCTTTCAATTCATCATCAACATCACCCGAATAACCAGACAAAATCCTCCCAACATCAAGGTCAATAGACCTATACCGCCAATTCTCCAAATCTAAAGCATAAGGCCGCCAACAAAAACTCTCACTCAACGATCTTATTTCTTTTCTAACATCAGCCAAACTCCCCTTGAATCTCACCTTATCCCACCTACCAATCCTAGGCTGCCCTTAACTCAAAGGCCTTGCTAATTTCGACCCTAACAAGGGAAATCTTTCGAAAGCCCAAAGCTGCAAAATCTGAAATGGACCAGGAACAGAAACCTCCTTCTTAGCAGAATCAAAATCAGCAGCATGCATAGTAAGAAAGGACATATTCTGATACAAACAGGCAAGAACAGCCGGAGCAAGGGCGATCCTCGCCCCTTTAGCAAGGCGAATAGCAACCGGAAAACCATGTGATCCTACTGATCCATCATCAATGACAGGAAACACAAACATAGAAAGCCAAAATGCCAAAAACCCCACATGCTCCATTTCATCATTCTGCTCATTAAAATACTTAATCCAACCATTACTTTCATTACTACTAATTGACAGAGCACTTTTTACTCTATGTAATTTTGATTCCAGATTTTTACATGAACCATCAAAAGTAGAAAAATTCACATTTTCTCCTAAAACAGGCAAACCATACAAAACATTTACATCTTCCAAAGTAATGGTAGCTTCACCCCATGGAAAATGGAAAGTATTTGTTTCAGAACTCCAATATTCAATCAAACCTAGAATAATATCTGGGTTAGGTTTAATTTCATGTAAAGAAGAAAGAATTCCATCACAAATACCTGTTAATTCCCAGAGTTTGGCGAATTTGAGTGATAATTTCTCGACCCAATTAGCCCAATTTTGATGGGGTTTTCTCCAACCTGGAAATTTCACCTTAATCGGCCATTTTTTAAGGTTTTTTAGCTCGAAAATGTCAGATTAAAGAGAGTTTTTTGGGGGGTTATTGGGTTTTTGACATGATTTTAGGGTTTTGGGTACTGATAATTTCGCCATTGATGATGAAAATGAGTGGGAATTTTAATGGGTTTTTTGAGATTTAAGGGAAGAATCAGTAAAATGGCGCGAAATTAGATTGTTTTTGAAATATGATTAATTTTTTTTATTGATTTGACAGATTATTTTAATGGATTGAAATACTGGTATGAAAAGTGTCTTCTGGAATTCTTGTGCAAAGATTTCTGGACAAGTTTCATGACAGTTGAATTTTCATAACACGTTCCCATGTTAGTTGTTACTCTTGTTAAGTTGTCAGTGGGTTAACCTAGGCCTATATATGGCTACATCAATATCTTATGTATGGGATTTTTTTTTTTTTTTTTTTTTGAGTACTTGTATATTTTATTTAACTTTAGAATGAGTTGAATAATTTCTCATAATAAAAAAATAACGTTATTAATTTTATCATTCCCCAACATTGAATATTTGAATTGTATAATTTCCAATAAAAATGCAATTATAAATGTAAAATAATAATTGAAAATCATGCATTTTTCATTAATTTATGAGAAATCATTAATGCGTGTTCAAATTCAATTGAATTTGACCCTAATTCAATCCAAATACAAAATATCGAATAGACACCTCTAGTAAGATCTATTAGGGGGTTTCGATAATTAGGACGTGTTCGGCGCTAGCTTTTGAGTAGTTTTTAAGTAGCTTTAGTGGTTTGACCAACTTAACAAAAAATGTGAGTGTTTGGCAAAGTAGTTAGTTGTTAGGATAGCTTTTAGAAGTGGAGGTAGCTTTTATGAAAAGTTAGAAATATTAGCTTTTGAAGTTAGAGGTAGCTGTTGAAAATTTATCTATAATTTTAAAATAAAATATTGATTTTTATATGTAACAGCTAGTCAACCGTTACTTTACCGAACACTCATACCTAAATTATCTATCTTCACAATTAACAACTTGTTAACAGCTAACAGCTACCTACACAGCTAACAACTACCTTCACAGCTATATTTTGCCGAATACACCCTTATTGAGAATATCTCTTATGAGTTGGGTTTATTTAAAGGTGCGTTTTCTTCAGCTTATTAGACATGATAAACAAAAATGTTTGCATTAGAAGTGGTTATTGCATTGGGAGTATGCAAATATTTTGATAAATGGGAATAATTTCATCGAAGTAGGTATGTATAAGAAAAATGTGCAAAATTAAGATATATACTAGTTGTTTCGGTTGAAAACAATGGGACCTTGCCGAAGGTCCGCTGAGATGGAGAAGACTGGATTCGGTCCAAGTTGTGTTGGGCCGAAGGTTTCCTGCACAGTGAACGCACGTAAACTAGCCTCGGGGGTGTTTCCGAGGAAGGCCCCTCCGATGCTAAAGTCAGTACAATGTGTAAAAGGAAGACACTATGCAAGAGAGTTTGTAGCTTGAGGCTTTTGTGGAATATTTCTGAATGCAAGAATGAGCATATGAATTGGAATATTAGTGTATGTCGTGAATGTGTTAATATGATGGCTTTTATACCTCATCATACATGGAGAGGTTGGGCTTTAGCCCAATTGGCTTACTTTGTGGGCTGACCTTTGACTTTTGAGCAATTGGAGAGTTGAACCTTGACCTTGGGCTTTTAATTGGATCATTTAGTGCTCAGGCCCAATTTTGACTAAATTGGACCCAAACAACTTGCCCCCCAGACCCGATTTGGAAGGATGACGGGTCGGGTTTGATTTAACTCAGAAAAGGAGGGAAGTAAATGATTTAATTGATCCAAAAATTTGAATTTAAACCGTAATTAATGAGATAACAACGGTTAATGATTTGCGGAAGTTGGACGGATAATGGGCAGTTTAATCACAAGACATGTGTTTAATGGTTACTTAGTGGGTATTTAAGAGAAATTAAAGCACAGACTCTTCGTATCCCGTACCTGGAGATATAAACAGAGGCGCGTCATTCTCCTCACTTATTCACCAACACAAACCCAGAATTCTTCGAGAGAGAAACCAAGAACCCGCATCAAAACTTCGCAAATTCCCCGAGCATTGAGAGCTTAGAAACTGAGACTTGCCACTACGAACTCGTAAATCGGCAACTTTCGCTTCAGATTAAGGTAAATTCCCTTTGATTTCAGTTTATTTTTCTTCGAATTCGAACTCCTTCCCCTTTTCTTTCGACTTTTCTCTTCGAAATAATCCATGGCAAGAGGAGTTAGAGGTAGAGCCCGTGCTCCAAGAAGAGCAAGGCCGATTCCCGATCCTAGGAACAGGATTGGGACCTGGAATGGTCAAAGGCCGGAGTCTGACCCTGCTGAAGGGATTAGGGCGACTCCCCTTTCCTCGCTCCTCCTCAAAGAACGGATGAGCCGAGCGCTTCTGGACGGGATGATGAAGTTCCCGCTGTCCTTTGGGATATCCTCCTGGGTTTTCAGAGTGGGAGAATGCCGAAGTCGTTTCGGCCATGATAAAGAACCGCCCCTACTCATGGTGGGTAGAGAACGCTGATCAATATCGATTTGCCGAGCAAATTGAGTTGCATTACGGCATTTTTGAAGCTGATGGATATTGGTGCCGAATGCCCTCAGCATCCGATAGAATCCATCGTCCACCCCCGGGGTATGTGGGGGTGTACACGAGACAGCTTCAGTATGGGCTGAGGTTCCCTTTGGACGTTTTCGTCCGAGACTTGCTGATCCATTACAAACATTTCCCTATGTCAGCTAACCCCCACCAGCATCCGAAGGGTGATGACATACTTATGGGTCTGCAAGTTCTTCAAATACGTGCCGAACCTGCACTGCTTCAGAAAGCTCCATCGGCTAGTGCCAAATATTCAAAGTGGGCACGGAAGCCATGGTTCTGGGTGGTATCGGATTGAGTCCCGGCCCCAATACTTGACCATGTGGCCAAATGACTCTTCAGACAAGGACTGGAGAGGTCAATGGATTTGGGTTAGGGCACCCACAGATCCGGGCCACCCTTGCGTCTTCAGCGCTCCCGGTACTTAGCTGAGCCTGATCCCGAAATGGGAAGTCTAGGTCCCCCCGCAGATAACGGGGCGGATCCGAACCTGGATCAGCAACATATCTTCGGCAAGCTGCCGAACCCGGGGGGAAGTGGTCGAATGCAGCATATCCCGGAGACTTGGCTCCCCGATACGCATTACGTTTTCCAAGAGAACATGCTAGCAGCTGTTGGCCTCAGCCGAAAGTTTAAGGATGGTAAGCTTCTTCGGCTGGGGCCGAGGCTTTTTAACTACCTCTTTTTCTTCTCTCGCTTTGCTTTTTTTATGCTGTGCCGACATATCTGAGCTAAACTTTTTCCCTTTCCTTTTTTCAGAGCGGACGAGACCAACGTTGGTATTAACTACGCTCGTCTTGGTGTTAACCGAGAGCGAGTTGTAACTGAACGGGCCCCGTCTATCACTGAGCCGAGGCATAGGGAAGTTCATCTGGATTCTTCCCACTTCCAAATTGAGGCTGTTGCTCTGTATCAGAGGCAGAAGCCTTGGTGGAAGAAGAGAGACCCTTGGTTTCAGCTGCTGAACGAAGAAGCTGAAGCTTCCCGCACAGCCGAAGAGGTTGCACGGGTACTTGAGGCTTGCGAAGGAGGAGAAGGGTCCTCCAGAGCTGCTGAGGCCGAAGCTGCAGCTAGAGCAGCTGAAGAAGACGAGGCTTTGCTGAAAACCTCGGTGAGCTTCAGACAACTTTTTTTCTTTTCATTTCTTTTTTTTTTTTTTTTTTTTTTTTTTTTTTTTTTTTATTACTCACACTCTTCTTCCCCCTGTCTGTTACAGTCTGAAGAGAGTAACAGACACAAAGAAGGCAAAAGCTCCTGTTTCGTCCCGAAGATCAAATACAAGAGTCTTCAGACTCAGATATGGACGAGCAGCCCCTTCTGAAAAGGCGCCGAAGGATGGCCATCATCGGCCCTCATGACTTTCAGCAGAGGCCGATGACCATCGGCGTCGCAATAAGGGAACCCGAGGAAGGCAATGGATCGCCGAGGGTTCCCCAGCCAACACCCCAATCTCCTCAAAAGACCCCTCCGCCACCTCCTGAGATGGAGGTGGATCAGAGAACTCCCGAACCTAAGGGAGGGGTCCAAGAAGAAATCAAGAAGAGTGCTGCTGAGCACGAAAATAAAGATGCCGTGATGTCCAGTGCTGAGGGCTTCACGGCAGATATCGCAAGAGAGGTTGAGGCTTTCGTCCTCACCCCTGAAGAAGAGGAGGTCATAGTAATTGACTCCTCTGAGAAGGACGATGCTGAGACAACCAAAGCTAATCAAGCTCCATCGTCGTCCTTCCCTTCTTTCCAGACTCTGCATTCTGGAGAAATGGGTTTCTCGGCCCCCGAATTCCAATCCCAGATCACATCTGGGACCTCATATGGGGTCAAAACCGAGAAGGAGCTGCAGCCTACTTCGGCAATTTTGCTGGCATGTCCGAAGTAGACAGGGCAAGGATCTGGTCGCTGAAGGCCACTGCTGGGATGGGCGAATCCAGTAGATCAGTTCCTTACCCAGCCAGGTCTAACCAACTGCTGATGATGCAGGTAATTTTTCCTTCATTTCCTCCGAAATTCAGCTCTTTATATATATATATATACATTTTTTTTTTTATTATTTTTTTTTTGTCTTCCTGTTTTCAGTTCGTGCACAATCAGACTCTCACTGTAGAGCTGATAGATACCCTACAAGATAGGGTAGACGCTGCTGTGCACGAAAAGAAGGTGGCTGAAGAGGAAGTTAAGCTTGCTAGGCTGAAGCAAGCAGCAGCTGAAGAGAAGCAGCAGGAGGTTGAGGAGTACGGGAAAAAAAGCTGCCGAAGCCCTGAAAACCTTCTGCGATGCTATGGAGAAGGAAGTTTTTCCCCCACTGATGGAAGGGGAAAAATTCCTCCAGGAGCATATGGGAGTGGACGTCTCCAAATTCAAGGCTGCCATTGAGAGCCGAATTCAAGAAGGAACTGCTGCACAAGCTGAAGTGCAGCAGCGTCTAGAGGCTCTTGAAGCCAGCCGAATGGCTGCTGAAGAGTTGCTCCTGGC